AAACTTAAAAAAGATAAGCAGTACCTTTGACATTTAGTAGTGATGAGAATGTATCCCCAACTCAAGAAAAACAAGGCTATTTTTTCTAAAACACTACAAAAAATTTTGCTCAAATTTAACATCATTTTCCAGTTAACAGAAGCAAAACAATGTAAAAGATCCCACAATCTGTGCAGAAACTGAAGAAAAACTCCAGAAAGAAATTTACACTTTAAACGTATTCCATACATTAAATAGGTCAACACTTTTTTTTGAGAGAAGCTCTTGATTACATGACTCCTATAAAGAGTCCAGGAAGAACACTAAGACTTTCCAGAGCAACACTTGTGGGGCTCAAACATCCCTGAATTAAAATCACAATAAATAACTAAAAACAAAAATCGTTATGACAAAGACCTTTTTTATAATGTGGACCTGAACTGGATTTTGTACTGATATACTGTGACTGTCGGATGTTAAGATCACAAAGCCTTTAGGAAACAGACTTAAAGTAAAGAGGCCTAAATCTCAACTAAGTACTTCTGGGAGTGAATCCTCCAAAACATTTTTTTTTTTTTACTATCCCTGTGAATGAATGCTTTTTTTCCTTTCCCAATTCAATTTAAATCATAGTAAAAACAAAAACAACTTCATAATTATGATTCAAATCTGCATGATTCCATTTTTTTTTTAAATGCACTTACGTCAGTGCAGGTCATGTTAGAGTGATAACAGTCACTCTGCAACAATGTTGTACTCTTGCATATTGCACAGGGTTATTAAAAGTAAAATATGTCTTCTGCAGTTGCGTTGTCTTTGGTTTTATAGTGTCCTGGCTGGGTACTGAGTGCGTTATGATTGTGGTGTTTCCTGATGCCGTTTCCTGAATGAGAGGGTATGGAGCTGGATAACTTCTCTGGATGGATAAACATATCTACAGGAACACCACAGAAATAGATTTACTAATACAGAAACGCGTATTAATGGTGAAATGACTAAAATAGCACTGCTTTGAAGTAATATGAAGATACAGAGTCTACAAAGAAAATAAAAGGCAGAATAAATGATAATTCACCACACCAAAAATAATTTACCACCCCAAAAAATCAAAGGTTTGAATTAAAATGAGGGTGAGCAAATGACTGAATTAAATGTCTAGGCGTACTATCCCTTTAAACAAAGAAAAAGGAACTTTTTAATCAGAAACACAGACCAATCCCATGAGAGCAAGAAGCTAAACTTAAGGCGAGACACAGAATCAAGAAGTTTTACCTGGATGGAGCCGGTGGGGACTGTTGGATCTCATGGCTCTTAAACTGCCTCCTTCCTTCCCTGAAACTTTGATGGGAAGTACCTGAGACACCTCTATGCCAGCTAAAAGTGTGAAAAAAACTTTCAAGTTAAATTAAATTCACCTAAATTTTACTGATAGCTCTTTATCACTGCCCACAAAACAACATCAGCTCACAGACTAATGTAATGGAGTTAGTAAAACAGTTCATACCTGCACTCTTGGTGCGCTGGTGGGAGTTCCTGGGCTTGCTGTGCTTCTCCTTGCCTTTAGGTTGGGCAGCCAGCTTGGTGGGAATCTTCTGTTGGACGGAGCTGGCTTTGTGGGATTGGTTGGTGGTGCTAACGAGGTGGATGGGCACTACGGGTTTAACAGGAAGGTTGGCCATGCTCTCCCTGCGTGGCGGTACCAGAGGAGGCCTCTCGTCGAAGCCGGGAGTAACCACATTCAATATGGGGTAAGGTGGAGGTAGCTAGAAAGAAAGGCAAGTTTATGCATGTACATATATTCGGTACTTTAATTGTGATTTATACTATTTTGTCTCTCATTATACCTGTATCTGTTCATTCTCCATGGGAAAGGTTGCAGTGTTTAGAACATTCTCATTCCTCTTATACTTCTTCTCCAGCTGTTCCAGCCTTTCTCTGTCCTTCTCCAGCTTCTCTCTGTCCTTCTCCACCTTTTCTCTATCCTTCTCCACCATGCGCATCGAGTCTCTGAGGCGCTCCAGATCCTTCTGGTATTCTGATTTACACCAGGC